AATTTCTTGCCTGTATAACCTGTATGAAAATTTCTTTAAAAGCCGACTGGGGCGTCATCATTTCTCAAAATGGTGAGTAAAAAGCGTAAAAACACATCCAGTATAATTTGTTCTGGACACATGATACGTGATGCACTATTCTATTTCTCTGTCCGCATTAAACAGTCATCTAACACCATTGAATTTAAATAAGTTATAACTATGAGAGCGAAATAATGGTAAATTATTGTCTATAATTAAGTGAATTTATATTAAGGTATCACAGAAGGAAAACAGTCATATTTTTCTCAATTTCCTAAAAATTTTATGTCCAATAAAAAAAATAAAGATTCACTATTTTCTGAAATTTCATTTTGGTATCTTTTTTACTCCAGGAGATGTACAACAAAAAGTATCATGAGGGTACAACGGAAGGCACGAGCTCGAGATTGATTACACTTCATGTCAACGTCTTCTTGTCACCTAATAAACGATTACAAACCATTATTAACGTGCAGATCACGTTCCAATCAAAACAAGGATGTTATTAAAATGCGCGGCCAAATTAGCTTATCTTGTGAAACGAGTCGGCGTTTTCATTTAACTTGGGTTTTTCCGGCTAACAGGGGAATAGACATTGTCGTGAGTAAATGTTTTAAAGCAAAGATCAAAAGTTTAAACGGTGGATCTTGTATCAATACGACAGGATTAAGGATCGGTATCGGTGAACTTTTTTTCCGATCAACTGATCAGAAACTCAAAGTTCAGTTCTTAACAAAAATTACTGAGAGGTTATCCTCGGGGTAATTTGTGAATACACTGTCTGTTTTTTTAAACCTTTTTTCCAAACTACTATCGATCTTTGCTTTTACGCCGAGTCTTTTCGGTGCACGTTACAGTAGTGCATTAATTACAAAAAAATTCCGATTCGTTTTCCTTCAAAGAGGATAACGACAGAGCTCTCTCGCAGAATACGTTTCTACAAGGAATAAATGAGTGTATTTGGAGTTTGAGTAGCCAATCACAATGCGCCTTCACCGCTATCCACTGTTTACCATATGCTAAAACTTTTCGTCTTCGTTGAGCGTGTTTCTTATGTTAGAATGTATTGTAACCTATGTTTTTGTTCGAACCGACAATTCAATCACCAACTCGATTGACAATTCAGTCTACAACTCCGCTTCAATTGTTTGCAATAGGCCTACAAAATCTAAGTTACATACAACCAACGGTATCTAGTCGTTTCGTACTCACGAACGTTTCTTACTTATTCGATTTGCAACCAAAATTAGCATTTTCGTTTCGATTCGTATTCAAACCATTAGTGAAACATTAGTGACGATAAAAACCCCAGCGAGCAGATGAGTACTGTTGCGTGCGACTGGTTGGTTATGATTCCGGCAAGCGAGTAAAATACACA